ATGCGACTCTTTACGCCTCAAGATAAAAGAGCGAGTCAGAGAACGCAGTTAATAAATGCAGACACATGAGAGAAGGAAAGAGCTGAAGTGTATAAACAGATGCTAAAGGAGACGAGGTCTGTCAGCTGTGCAATTCTGAGTCAGGAACAATTACCTTCAGATACAGTCACAAAAAACACTATCCATAAGGGACAGTGTACAGACATGAAGCTGATAAAGCCTCGCATCTGTCATCGCTCGTTTGAGTTTATGAGATCAGTGACGCTCTGGACGACAGAATAAGACACCGATCAATAACCATACGCAACATCAGGATGGTTTACCGCAATCTTCACATACACACCAACCACAACTAATAAATGCAGACACATGAGAGAAGGAAAGAGCTGAAGTGTATAAACAGATGCTAAAGGAGACGAGGTCTGTCAGCTGTGCAATTTTGAGTCAGGAACAATTACCTTCAGATACAGTCACAAAAAACACTATCCATAAGGGACAGTGTACAGACATGAAGCTGATAAAGCCTCGCATCTGTCATCGCTCGTTTGAGTTTATGAGATCAGTGACGCTCTGGACAACAGAATAAGACACCGATCAATAACCATACGCAACATCAGGATGGTTTACCGCAATCTTCACATACACACCAACCACAAAAGGAAACATTTTAAATAACAGACAAACAATCGAGTCAAAAATGATCAGATTTCATCTATGACTCAAAAGGGTTTTCTATAGAGCATCGTTCTAACCATGGAAACAATGAAATGCAGTTGTTTACCGTTTCTTAGAAAATTCAGCAGATGAAACAGGAAAATTAATTGTCTGGTGGTAAGGACACAATTAGGAGAGTGTTTTTTCTTTTTTTTTTTCCAAGCAAACTATTTTATAGATTTAGATTGTGAGCTGGTCAAGTAAAAATCTGAACTATCTGCTCTTCTGGACAAGCAGAAAAAACTAAACAGTTGATTTTACAGCATTACAAACCTCTGTGAAACACTGCCCCTGCTGAAAAGACACCGTCACAGAATTTGTAATGGTTTTACTGGTTATAATGGAACTTGTATTGGTTTTAATGGAAACTGCAATGGTAATTGGTTGCCTTCTATTGGTGGCTTGTTAAAACCAATAAATCCTAATGGAATATGTCCCAAAACACACTACAGAAAACTATTTTTAATGGTTTTAATTAGGGATGCACAATATTATCGGACCGATATCGGCCGATAATGGCTTTAAATATAAATATCGGCATCAGCCCGATATGAAAAATTATGTCGATATGTCTTGCCGATAAGAGGAATACATTAACTCACATGTGGTGAGCGATTGATATATAAATAGTTGATTTATAATTACTTTTAAAGCTTTTAATATTGTCATTATAAAATAACTTCATTGTTGTTTATTTAATTCTAACAAATAAGCTTTTGTAAAAAAACTATCCAAAATTAAAAAAATAACTCTCATTCTGGCCATTCAATAAGATCATTATGATGTGTTCAAATGAACTAGATTTGCCATGAGCAGCTGCAGCACGTTCAGAGAGAGTCTGCTGGGATCTGCTCTCCAGACTCGTCTACAATTAGCTGCACTATTGTTCTGTATTATCAGTTGTTTCTTGTTCAGTAAAGCTCCCCGCAAAGACGAGATGACGCCTCTCGCATTATTTCGCTCCATATTATTTCACACTGCTTGTGTATGAGTCGGGAAACACACCAAACACAGCCTCATGTCCTGCTATACCAAAAACGTAAAATTTTGTTTCATCACTTTTTTTCCATTACTAATCATTTGACACTGGCTGGTTGAAAATTGGTCTTTTGTAAAAAAACTATCCAAAATTAAAAAAATAACTCTCATTCTGGCCATCTCAATAAACATTAAAAATGCCAAAAACTCTGCACACTGATGCATTTATTGAGATGTTTATTGTTTATTGAGATGGCCAGAACTTTTTTTGGACCAGAAGAAGTGCCTTGGATTCTTCTTTTTTGTAATAGTTGCTTCAAACCCAACCAAAGAGCACCTTCTGGGATTTCTTCACATGGTCTTTAATCAGCAAGTAGCGCTTCAAGATGTCTCCTACGATCTATTAAAAAGTAATGCGTTTATAATTTCCGCACAGGAGAGACTTGTTGTTTCCAAACAAAAGGAAATATATCGGCATAGGCCAAAATGAGTTGAAAAATATCGGTCTATTATGAATATATCGGATATGATATAAAAATAATTTTTTGCATCCCTAGTTTTAATGATTAAAAGTTGATGGTTTGTAACGTTTATAATGGTATTTGTAGTGGAAACTATGGAAAATGGTTTTATTGTTTTTTTCAGCAGGGTGCTGTGTTCCAGTATAATTTATTGATCAATCCTCATCTGACAACGGAAATAATCGAATACTGACCTGAGAATCACTGTCATTTATAATGTGTGCATGCTTCTATCAGCTTATTAGAATCAGAATCGCGATTACAATTATGGATGCCACATTTACGTAATCGTTCAAAGTGGCAATTAATCGTTCAAAGTCCACTTATGTTATTCTGCACGCTTAAGATATGTTTTTTCTTTCTACATGTTATCTTAAGGGTTTTTCCATTATTTTAGTTTTAGTATAACATTATAATACCATTCATACTTTTATAATTTAAAGAAACCAATCCGAAAAGCACTAAAGGTTTTTCAGTTAGTGTTTTCAGCTTGTTTATTTTCATATAAAAATACAGCATGCAGTTGCATCAAACAATGGTATAAACATCATTCAATGTAAATTGTGATAATCGTAATTAATAAATCGCAATTACAATTTCAAGGGAATAATCGACAATTATGATTTTTGTCATAATCGTGCAGCCCTAATCAGAACTAGCAATGTCAGATTATAAATAAATCACACTTGTGATCCAATTTGGTCAAGCGGGTTTGCAAAAAGATTCATGAATCAGTTTGATTCATTTGGACAGTTCACTCACACTCTTTTTTTTAAAGTCTGAAAAAATATATTTTGGGATATTTACCTACAGTTCGTTGTAGGAAACAAAACAAATGTCTTTGTTTTACAGCAATGAAGCTGCAGGTTATTGTGTGTGCTGCAGGTAATGACAATTTCTATCCATACTAGTATCAAAAAAAAAACACTAGAAATCCCCCTGCACTACCCAAACCATCAACGATACAACATCACCTGCATTTACAACACTGCCAACATCACATCAATATCACCATACAACAGAGGTTTACATTCATGCACATATGCGTAAATATGACAGCTGCAGCCAAAATGAAGTATGTTTACATTTCTTAAGAACTAGAACCCACAAAGACACACAAACATATTAAATCCTGGTGTTCTGGAGTTGGTCAGGAGCTCCATTCACACACATCTCATGGTGACTTACACAACACGATTGCTTGATACTCTAATTTTAGACAAAATAAGAGTTATCACTCTTAGCCCTCACTGCTGAGAAAGGTTAACTAGAACACTAGAACATCAGCTGCACTTTGACCTCTGTGAATGTATGCATTTATTTAGTTGTTTATTTAACAGGGACGATGCAGAATAACATTGCAGATGCTCTGCATACAGGCTTCTAGCCAATGGCTAATGTGCAGCCCCAGTCCCGGGTTAGGCTTTTAAAATACAATTTAAAATACACAAAGAATGTAAAGTAACAAGTACAGTAAACGTAACAAAAACCTAAGACTGTGAACAACTATCAATGTTTTTTGTTTGAACCATTTTTTGATATTCCTCAGAAAGATGTTAAACTCTGTTTGCATTTTCAGTTCAAATGGCAAACTGTTCCAGAGCAGTGTCCCTTTAACTGAAAATGTGGATTGAGCACATTTCGTTTTTCTCTTAGGCACTATACAGTTCTGTATGGAAGCCCGTTTCCACCACCGAATAGAAATTTTAAAAAGGTTATTGTGACTTTTTATCTCACAATTCTGACTTTTTTTCTCAGAATTGTGAGATATAAACTAGGGCTGCACAATAAAAATCGCATGCAATATTTAACGCGCATCTTGTCAGTAAAGCCATTCTGTAATCAGCGGTAAATCTCCATCACCTGCGGGCTTTCACATTGAGCAGCATTAACTACACAGCCGTTGTTCATTGACAAGCTGCGCAAAACCACGATCATATTTTGCACAGCTTGTCGGTGAACAACGGCTCTGTGATTCTTACATTAAAGTATTTTTTTCCTCGCAATTGCGAGTTTATATCACACAATTCTGAGAAAAAAAATCTGAATTGTGAGATAAAAAGTCGGAAACAGGCTTCCATAGTTCTGTGTAGTTGCACCTCTTGTAGTGATCCCTCTACTATTCTGTTTTACTATTAATTGGCATATAATATCTGGAGCAAGCTTATTGACACATTGAAAAACCATTTTAATAAGACACAGATTCATCAAATTTTCAAAACTAAGCAAACTGTATTTTTGTAAAATGTCACAATGATGCCATCTAATTGATTTCTTGTCTAAAATGTTTAAGGTTTGTTTTATATAGGGATCTAACAGATTTGATAGGTGCGTAATAAAGTCACTTCAACATGCAACTGATGCCAACCGCAGAAATTAGAGAGCTGGAGGAAACTCTGCCACGGCTGCAAACCAGATCCGAGTTAACACTACTCTGTGAAATTTCATGGGAGAGATTGAGTCATTTCGGTACGAATCCATGCAATCTCTACAATTGAAGGTGAAAAGGTTCCTTACTCAGATTTAGCTGGTGTTGGTCACACAAATCACCAACCGAAAGATGCTTGGTTTGAAAGGGACTTCTGTGTGAGATGTGCTTCGTTGTTAACTACACTATTGACTTTTGTCCGCAAATCACCGCTAAATTTCACTAATGTGACAGCACCTTTTTTCTGAAGGCAGGAGATCCCACATGCAGTTTGTTTCTTTATGGTTCTTTACCATCCAAACACTGAGACCCACTAATGCAAGCAGAGAATATCAAAGAGCTGCAAAGCATTTCCTCACCTGCAGTTTGGTGGCGGGTCCAACATGATGTCAGCCAGCTCTTTCTGAATCCTGAAAGAAGACACATGACTCCCATGAACATCTCTGAACTCTGACATCCAGATGAAGTACTGTGGAATCGAGCAACAGCCGTCTCAAAACCTGGCAAGCTGCTTACCTAAACAGCATTTCTAGGAACCAAATTATTCTAGAAGAGCATGTTTGCTGTGTATCTGATCATATCAAATATGATATCTAGAGTTTAGCTCTTTCACAGTGAAAGCTGCTGTCCGAAACACTGTCTGACAAGATAAGGGAGTATGCCAGGAAGGCGTTTACAAAGGCAACATCCGGTCTACTAATATGCCTTCATTTGGTCAGTCTTCGAATGCAGGATATCCCACAATCCCGTGGTTGATGAAAGGTTAAATATGCCATCTGATGGCAGGCTAGCAACCAGCAATAATAAGATAAGGCCACATTGTTCCCTTCAATACTTAATAAAAAAAAAATGTATGATGCACCTAGTGGTCGACCGATATTTGGCATTTTTCCAATATCGGCATCGGCCGATAAGTTTTTCTGTTTGGCCGATGTGTTCGTGGCAGGACTTTTATTTTGACGGCGCTGAGAATATAGGCTTTAAAGTAAATCATGCAATTCATTGAATGGAACAAGAAACATTACCAGAGCGGTTTTTAACATATTAGGCATTCGATTAAGTGCGATTTTTTTCTTTGCAAATAGTTCAAGTGGATTTTACAACATGGCTTTTTTAGGTTGCTTTTTTTCAATTAATTTAAATAAAAAGGACCATTACTACCTACACCTCCCAAAAACCGGTTTGGTCCTTGTCTGATGGAGCAAAATTACTTAATTTTCTTAATCACAGCTTTCATTTTGAAACAATCCCTGTAGTCATTAAATATCTGCTTATCTTTAAGGCTCGCTAAATCTTGAATTCGGTCTGAATCCAGTTTCTCTGAATCCAAAAACCTCTGCTGACTAACTGGGCTCTGCCTTGGCTCTGGGACACGGCCCAGAAACCTCGTAAGCCTAAGTCGATCATAGCTCCACTGTTTCAATGGGTCTACGCTGTACTCAAGCCCAAGATGCTTTTGGGATCGTGTCTCCTCACCTCTTGGCGCTGGTGGAGAGGAGTTTGGAGGTCTTGCTCATGTTGGCTTTGTTGTCTCTCTTTTTCCCAGATGTGTCTTTCTCCTGCTGCTGATGGGTGGAGGAAGAGGAGGAAGAGGAGGATGAAGTAGAGCTGGCACGCGAGTCCTCATCCGACATCCCGATCTATGAGAAACACACACACACACACACACACACACACTGATGTGAACGTAACATATCGACGCACGCATGTAACACCGCTCAGCTGTAACGACGCAAAGTGTGCAACAATGTAAGCGATGCATTTGACCTTAACTCCAGATCTACAGCACGGCGTGCGACTGCTACGCATTTCGGCTTGAAATAACCGTGAAACGTCAATCCGTTACACAAATGTAACGCTGATCCCGACCGAACCGAACCCGTTCGCGAGCGATCAATGACAGGAGATTAAACCGAAGGCAGTGGCGCACAAACACGCCTCGATGTGGCGCTCAACAAACTCAAACTTCACTCCATCCCACAAACGCGGTGAAGGGACGAGGTAAAAACACGGTAGATGTGTCGTCAGCGCTGTGGGCTCGCGGTTGTCGTCTTCATTTACCGTCGACGGAGAAATGCTTCGGAGCCTTGGCGTGCAGACGAGAACAAAGGCACCCCAACGCACCGCGGAGGGGAATATAATAGAAATAGGAGGTATATTGTAAGGTTTGAAGGCTTGTGTACCTCTCTTTGTGTCGGTGTGTGTCCGTGGACGCGCGTGTCTCTCAGAGCGGAAGTGCTGCTGCTGCAG